CAGAAAAAGCTTATGGGAGGGTGATTCAACAAGCAGGTGCAAGGGATACATATTTTCAAGCACAACATTGAACAAGCTTATTCCAAACCTTGAACTAAGTCACTGCATCTTCCATCCAGTTTAGCAGCATGTCTTTTAGAGCAGCATCAAATTTTCAACAATTAATATTTTGGGAGGACGAAATTGTAACCTCTGTTCTTTCAATTTATTTATTTCAACTGAATAAAGCATTTCACAGTTGTTTATTAGTTTCATCTTTAAACATAAACGAAGAAGCACTATTGCATACAAAAGATTTCTTATCAAAACTCACTCAGAAGGAGAGAAAAAAGTATTCATTTTTACATACTGGAGAATGTATGTCAATATCCAAGCCTTCAAGGAAATTAGTTTCCTCAACATTAGTCAATTCGCGCTCTATTGCTGTTATCTGTACAAGAAGAAAGAACAATACTTTTTTTATAAAAACAAAAAGCAAACCTTTTCCCTTTCAAATCAACATAAGCTCACAGAAAAATGAACAAATCTGTACAAAAATACCTTCAAAAATGCAATAACGAAGCCAATCTATAAAACCCTTGCTTTGTAGCACAAAACTCGCAAGTTAAACAGGAGAATCGACTCAAACACAACCACCACAAAGGGAAAACTAATCTGAGTCATGAACCAGTTGTGAAGACGCTCCAAATAAAAACTATGATCGCAATAAAGTGGCACCCTTGCTCCATGTCGTCTAGAAAAATCTCGAGACATATATAGTACCCCGACTCAGTAGATCCATTCAACATAGCATCACACAAAGTCACCCCCTCGTTGACATGTTTTCTTGTCCCCGCCAACGATTCTCCCTTCCCCCTTCGAGTAATCACCAGTTGTTCAAATGATTGCTCCACCTTGTCTTTATTTTTCTCTCTAACTTGCCCTTGTTTCTTACTCCATTCCTGTCTCTCCATCACTTTTTGAGGGTGTATAAGCTTCTGTCCAAGCTGACACACGGATTCAGGATGATCTTGTCGACCACATTTAATACAATAGAAACCTAGCTTCTCATACCAAACCTTCTACTAAAATGTCCTCGATGAAGTAACTATAGGAAAACCTCTAACTAGTTCAGCCAGCATATCCACTTCAACAGACATTCTAGCACTTGTGGCCCGAGATTGATTCAATGTTGCATGGTCTGTACCCAAGTATCTTCCAAATCGAGTCGCCAAAATTCTCAAGCAATCTGGTCTATACATATGCATCGACAAATCTGGCAAGAAAATCCACTGTGGAGTAATAGAGGATTCTCTATTTAATTCAAACTTCGCCGACCATTTAAAAAGCTAAAATGTCGCCCCAGCCAAGGATCGACCCTCTCTTGTCCATACATGCAAATAATCAGTTTCGTTTTTCAATTGAATCAACACATGTGAGGTATGATGAAACTAATTACTGAAATCATCTGAAGGCCCCAAGTTTTGTTAACAATCCTTCGAACAACATCTATATTTGGTCTCACAGTGAGAAATTTCATCACCAAAGCAAACCTTAAATCTTCAGATAGGCACTTCTCTTCCACATCTGTAAATACGAATCCAAGCTCTCCGTTGATCATCTCTGGACCTCTCATCGTGATGGTTGTGCCCGCTGTTGGCACCATCAGAAATTTCCCCTTTTTCTCGCTCGAATTAACTATCTCCAAGTACAACCTCTTCTGTTGCACTCCAATCGAACTCCCAACTATCTGTACACTTGGTTTTATCTTTCAAATTGTTACTATACTTCAATTGATTTTCAATTTGTCAATGAAATTTAAAAATGGTTTTAAATTAGTCACCCCATTAAATTAATAAAGTTGCACGCATATCAAGTGGCGTCGCTTATGTGGAGTCTCATCAACCATTTCAAATCGATCACTGAACTTTTTACCAATGTTTTAAATCGCTTGCTTACTTGATGATAATAAAATTATAACCGAAAGTACTATGCCTATACGATCGAATTAAAAATAGAAGGTTATGCCTAAAATCCACTTATGTGAAAGAAAAATGTACAAGATATCAATTATTTTTTAGTTGATTTAATTAGGAATTTTACATACATTATCTAATTGTTTTTAAAGAATTTTTAAGGAATTGTTTAAAACTGTTGAAAAAGTGATAATTATTGTACGTCACTTTCATAATCCAACATAAATTAATAATTCAATTCAATATTTGTATGGGGATGTAAAGTCTATGGACTATGTAGTTGAGTGGAAATTGTAGCATAGAATACGATGAACTTCGTTAAATGTTGCAATCCATTTAAATTGAAGGTTAGGTAAGATTTTAAAGCCAGAAATTTTAGGTTTTTTTTTTCCCTTTTTTATTTTTTTCTTTTCTTTTTTTGTCATTTTGTAAAGTCCAGTAACTAGTTGGAAATAAATTGAAGTCTAGCAACCATTTTGAAAAGCGTATAAAAAGATTGATGATCGATTTGAAACAGTTAGCAGCTGATAAGACTCTACGTAAGTAAAGACATTTGACATTTATGCAAATCTGTTAATTTAATAAACTGATTGACTAATATGAATCCATTTTTAAAGTCTATTAACGAGTTGAAAACAAATAGAATTCAGTAACCGTTCTAAAACGAGAGACAAAGTTCGATAGATGATGTATTTTACTCATATCGTGCATCATTTTTTATGGCAACTAGTAATTATTTTAGTTTGCATTAGTAGTACTTAGTACTAATTTATGTGTTTGTGTGAGAATAATTTTTCTGTCACATAAAGTAAGTATTATTGATACTAAGCCTGTTATTTAGTCTAGATTAAAAATTGATAAAAATCACAAGTCAAAATAATTTTAATTACATATTTTATAAGATTTACAATTTTACATTCATCTACTTATCAAAACTCATTAAAAATTTAATTTTAATCCACGCGACGGACGAAATAGCATTATTATTTTGCTTCTGTAAGCTGGATGACTTCCATTTCATTTGGTTTCAAGTCGTCGTAACTTTCTTTCAAGTTTGATGAATTTGTCACAAAAAAACAAAAAGTCGTAATTAATGATAAGATAACATGAAGGATATTATTTACACTATTCTAACATTGACAATTCTTATCCTCAAATTATACCTCCGTTTAGTAGCAATTTTTCACCCAAAAAAATTTTAATTTTTTTATTGTTATTTCACTATTTCAAATGTCATTTTTTACTTTTTCGCTCACAAATAAGACCAATTTTTCTCTCTAATGATCAAAAAATTAAGAAGAAATTACATGAAACCAGGGGTTTAAAGAACACAATTCAAACATCAGGGTCGAAGTTTTCTTAAGCAAAAATCAGGTTTTGATATAATAATTTAAAGATTAAATATTTCCCTCAATTCATTTTCAAACCCTAATATTTATCCTTCTCTCTCTACCGTATTTTCTACTTCTCTACATCAGAAAACACCACCGAATTTGGCAGCTTTCACGACGGTGACGACGTCTGCAGCAACCTGACTGGCGGCGTTTTGTTTTTCTTCTCTCTCTCTACTCAAACTCACTCGGTGGTTCAGTCGCGCCACTTTTCGATCTTTGAAGAATGATTCGTGATTCTGCAGTCTTCGATGCGACTACTGCCAGCTTGGGGAGGGGGTTTGGGATTTTTTTCTCTCTTTCCGATCTAAGGAAGTGGTGATGGTGAGGGGTGGATAGTGGTGGTGATGGCGGTTCTGTGGTAGCAACTATGGTGGTGGATATGGCGGTTGGGTGGCGTTTGGACGAGGTTTTGTGTGGTGGTGGTGATGGTGTTTGTGTTTGTGTAGTGGAGGTTTTGTGGTGGCGTCTATGGTGGTTGAATTGGTAGTAGTTTGCAGGTGTTTTAGTGGTGGTGTGGTTTTAGGTGGTTTTTGTTGGTTGTGTAGGGAGGGGTGCTGGCGGCGATGGTGGATTTGACAACGGTGGTGGCAGTTGACAATGGTGGTGGTCGTGGCGGTGTGGTGTGGTGTGCTGTTGATGTTGTGCTGCTAGAGACTGTGTCAGCGTGAGGGAGGTGGCGGTTGCGGTGGAGATTGCAGTGGTGGTGACAGCAGCGGTTGTGTGTGACCAATTATTTGGTTATCTGTGACCTAAAAATTTGATAACTTGTGACTTAAAAATAATCTGTGATCAACTAATTTGAAAATATGTGACCTAAAAATTCGATAACTTTGATTTAAAAATAATTTGTGACCAACTAATTTGAAAAACTGTGACCTATAATATTTTTTATTTGTGATCAATGATTTTTATAACATGTGACATTGTGATCTTAAAGTACACATCTGTGACCATAAATCTTATAACTGTGGCTTTAATATGCTTCATTAATAAAATATTTTTAATTAATTTACAGAAACCAGATTTTTGCATTTTAAAACTCTAGGCCTTGAATTTGAATTAGCCATACTTAAAGCATGGTTTATGAATTTTTTCCAAAAATTAATTCTCATAATTACTATGGAACAGACCCTATAAAAAATTGGACCCCCATTAACTAGGAGAACTTGAAGATGGAAAAATTTCATAAGTAAGCGTTTAAATATCACACACTTCAAAATCAAGAAAACAAGTTTCAAACTTCAAAAATCAGATTTTTATTAAAATTTATTTATGATTTAATTAATTAAGTTATTATTTAAATATATTTAGGTAACAGATTTATACAATTTGATCACAAATTAACAAATTAATTAGTTACTTATTATTTTTGGTCACAAATCAAAAATTTTATGTCACAAATTATTTTACAATTACAATTCAAAAATTTTGTAAGTCACAATTTGTTCATCGATCACAAATCAAAAAATTAATTAATCACGAATTAATTTTTGGTCACAACTTATCAAATTATTGATCATAACTAATTTTTTGATCATAAATAAAAAAATTTATAGGTCACATATAAATTTTAAGTCGTGAGTAAAAAATTTTATAGGTTATAAATTATTCATTGGTCATGGAAACAAAAATTTTATTGACCACAACTCATTTATTCATTGCAAATTATTAGATTAGTTGGTGATTAATTTTCTGAAGACAACTTATTCAATTGTGAGCCACAGTCACAATTTTTAGGTCACATATTACAAATTAACCAATTATTAATTACAATCAATCAAATAATTGGTCACAATCACACCCACCCCACAAAAAAAAACTATGTCTCAGCAGTCGTGTTCCTTATAGCTGTTTGTCGTCGCAGCGGTACAAAGAGCTGAGAGAGTGGTTGCAGCTGTGCGTCGTCCCAAGCAGAACCAAGGCCCTTTTTGGCCAACATGAGACAGCGATCAAAAGCCAGTTGGACATCTCCGACAATTCTGCCTCTCTTGCAATAGCTTCCTGTACTGCTGAGTTGTCTTCCCGTGAACTTAATCCAAGAAGTTTTGGAATTTCAACAAGTTCATCAATATTTAGATAAGCCCCACTTTGACAATTAATTGCCAACTTAATGATCTCCATAGGATCTTTAATTTGCCTAAATGCCATTGGTAGAAGGTTCACCCCAAGATTTGGAAGTCTGACTGTGAGAGCATCAACAATATCAGCCTCTACTCTGGCATTTCTGTTGGTTGGAAAAATATTTAGAAACTCCTTAGCCTTCCATATCTGATACAAATTGAAGAGATTTGTGAATTATCAAACCGCTGGTGACTTCTTTCAGACTATATTTGAATATGATTTTGAACTATCAAATATCAATTTCAGAACAACTGGTGCACGGTGAAGGGTGGGAGATGTAAAGAAATATCTTTATAGATTTCTGACTAAGCAATTGACACAATCACCAACAAAAACAGTATATTTAATGAGGGGATGATGGAAGTTAATTTCTCATTCTACTTTGCACCCAGATCCAGAACAGCATAAGATATTCACCAATGATTTCACTTCTTCTTTCACTGAAGTGATTTTTTTCTAGAATAACTCCCACAGCATAACCCAATCTCACACAAATCAACAGGAAATCAGCATCAAACCATCGAAAGGCTGCTGAGAGTGGAGAGGGAGACGGGTGAGAAGAGAGGACCACCACTACGCCATCGCCAACACTACCAATCGTCGTCGTCGCAGCTGTTTTTCATCAATGACGTGCCGCTGGAAGGCTACTAGGAATGGAGAGGCGACGTCTGAGAGTGGAAGGGAGACGGGTGAGAAGAGAGAGGGGAAAAGAGGAATGAGATAAATTAATTAGGGTTTGAAATAAAATTTGTATTATAATATTTAATATTTAAATATAAAACATTCGATTTTTGAAATGTCAAACTTTTAACTTGATTTTAGAATGTTGAATATTTAAAGTATGGTTTGATATAATTTCCACCTTGAAGATTTGATCTTTTAAAGCCTGTCTGAAAACTTGGTTTTATCCTCCAAATGGTTACTAGACTTCCATTGATTTTCAATTTGTCAATGAATTTTAAAAATGGTTTCAAATTAGTCACCCCATTAAATTAACGAAGTTGCCTATGTATCAAGTGGCGTCATGTATGTGGAGCCTCATCAACCATTTCAAATCGATCTCTGAACTTTTTACCCATGTTTTAAACCGCTTGCTTACTTGACGATAATAAAATTATAACCTAAAGTACCATGCCTATATGATCGAATTAAAAATAGAAAGGTTATGCCCCGAATCCACTTATGTGAAAGAAAAATGTACAAGATCAATTATTTTTTAATTGATTTAAATTTGAGCAGTAACAAAATTATGCTCTGTTATTGCCTCTCTAGAGGATCTTTAGCATCAAAATTTTTGTTGCAGACTAAACGATCCGCTAGGAAGATTTGCAATCCTAAAAGTCAGGCCCTTTATTTGTATGTTTCAAATCTGACTATTNGTCATTTTGTAAAGTCCAATAACTAGTTGGAAATAAAATTGAAGTCTAGCGACCATTTTGAAAAGCGGATAAAAAGATTGATGATCGATTTCAAATAGTTAGCCGCTGACAAGACCCTAAGTAAAGATGTTTGACATTTATGCAACTCAGTTCATTTAACTGACTGATTGACCGATATGAATCCATTTTTAAAGTCTATTAACGAGTTGAAAACAAATAGAAGTTCAGTGACCGTTCTAAAACAAGAGACAAAGTTTCGATGATAGATGATATATTTTACTCATAACGTGCCGGCAACTAGTAATTATGTGAGATTGCATTAGTAGTACTTAGTACTAATTCATGTGGTTGTGTGACAATAATTTTACTATCACATAAAGTAAGTATTATTGATACTAAGCCTTTTATTTAGTGTAGATTAAAAATAGATAAAAATCACAAGTCAAAATCAACAATTATTTTTAATTACATATTTCATAAGACTAGTCTAATGCCCGTGCAATGCACGGACTGTTTCTTTTTAAAGGTAACGTTAGTGTATAGAGCGTTAAGGATTGATGGAATTTCCTACGTTGATTACGTTAGCAAAATTACTAAATTTGATAAGATAAAGATCCATATGATTTACATATACAATACAGATCATTTGATTACACATAATTACAAAGTTTTGTAGAGATTTGATCGATGAAATAGGCCAATGATCGATGGATTTGGTACAAAAATTGCAATTCCTTTATGACCTTGAGACCAATTCAGCCCTCAATGTACATGACTTCTTAGACCAAGTCAATACCTCCATCCTATGGTCTAGAACTACATGCAAAATAATTCAATTATGTTGAGCTTATGACTAAAACTGGAATAGCAATTTTGTTCTCATGATATCGATAACTTATGTAATAAATTAATTTATTAACTATCATATATAGTACCAATGAAAGTATATTCTACCTTGCCTCAATTGAGCCCAATTGATAATTCATTCCTACTAAATGATTTGCCTAGAACCAACTTGATTCTACAATATCAAAACAAAAATTTGATATAATCTTCTGATCTTGTCTATTTTAATCACCTCAGTTGATCTAATCTTGTGTCTCATCATCAACAAATTATGTACCATACCATATACCTAGGACATAATCTAACCTTCTAGCTTTGTCCAGCTTAGTCACCAGCTTTCATCCTTTCTTACTGTACCACAAACCTAGGGCCAACCTCATTTCATAATATCTACTAACAAGAGTTTGATCTTCTTCTTGTGTCCCCTTCATTATTTAAGACCATAAGCTGACCTGAATTTGAAAAGCATGACTTAGTAGTGAACATCCTTGCCAGTGTTCATGGTCCAACGAGTTCTTAGAGCCCAATCCAAGGCAAGATTATAACTTGGCAGAATAAACTAAAATCTCATCTCATAAGATAAGAAGACAAGCTTCATGCTCAACCTCGTCCAAAAGTTAAAAGTCCTAGTCAAAAAGAGTTCTATTAGACTCCAATCAATTAACTATTAAATAAATGATCCTCCATATTCCAAGGGACACGATACAGAGTCCCCTTGCATTCCTTTACTAACTTAAGCCCATCATGCATCACTTGCCTACAATGAACATCGAAGTAATTGAAACTAAAGCAGTTTCACTGAAGTTGAATGCTGAAAACCTCCAAATTCTCAACCATTACACGGTATCAAGCAGAAAAATTCACCAATCCAACATAATTCCTACGTATTTTTAAAGTACATATCCCTATCATGCTACATGCAAATTTCCCATGAGCGTGGTCCCCCGATGCGATTGGCACGGTGTTCATTCCCTTCCATGCGAGGGCAAAAGTTGATAGGTAAAAAGAACTTGGCTACACATTAGTGATAAAAATCTTAATTTCACCAAAGGAAATGTCAATAATGTTTGATTTCACAATTTCAAATGTTTTCTTTACAATGTTAATTGTAAAAAAATAATGATAAAGGAGAACAAACGCAGAGAAAAAGTTGTCTGCAGTTTTAAACCATTCTAAGTTTTTAAAAAATAAAAATCCAAAAAATAATAATGAATTGAGAAAAAACATGAATATTCACTTGAAATCACCAACTTGGAGAGGTTGATTTTGCTTCGCCAATTAACTCACTGTTGGTTTCATAATACTCTTCCTCGTTGCCGAAGTCTATGTCAAAGTTGATGAAAATCGTCGCCTACAGTGCCAGCTTGTAGATCGTATTTTTTGTCTTTAGAGATTTAGATGGATTGAAAAAGGTACAAAAGGTATATAAAGAAGATATTTAATGAAAAGTACCAAACCTGTTAATGAATGACTAGAGACATTTTAAAAACCAGATAGGTGCGATGGGCACCATAAGAATGTACAGTGATATCAAATTCTCTCTTTTCTATTAGAGCAATGATTATGGTATAATCCTCTTAAGGGATGCCAAAAATTCACTCTTTTCCTTTTCTTTTTCAAATGGCAGGACTTTGGGG